TTTTCTGTATTCCACAGTTCTTTATATATATTTTTTCAAACTGAAATTCATCTTATTGATGCTGGACTGCCTTGATGCTGGACTATTGTTGGTGGACTGATGTTGGGGCTGCTTTGGATTGTGTTCATAGACCCCAAAGTGTCTGTATCCCTTTCAAGCATGCTGTCGTGCACAAGTTTTCTGGTTCTGTCATCTGCATTATGATTGCACATGCTGGCTAGTAGTTCCCAGGATGAAATCTGTGAGATGTCATCTAATACGTCTCCCCAGCCTGACAGCAAGGTAATGCCAGTTGCTCTAACCATGGTCGTTCAACCACGCTCAAAGTCATGGTTTCATCTACACCGTACTTCTCAGGTTTAGTAATGAAATTTTAAAAACCTCCCTCAAATCTACTTTTCTTCTTACTCACGCTAAGGCGGCCAGTTACATTGTCAGAAGGACATTAGACTGCTTTGACGTCAATTATTGTAAAGATCTGCATTGAGTGATCTTTATAATCTCATTATCCCTGGGGGGCGGGGGGGCATACAAATGGATCATGAATTTGTCCCAGTTTCTTTCCAAACATCAGAACTCCAGCATCCTTATTTTCATCCCTGCTTAAAGCTATGTTTTGTGTTTGTATTCATCCTCCCTCAGGGATATCTCCCGGGTGTGAGGAGTCCTCAGAGGTACCTGTTAATGGCTTGGAGACTCCATCAGCTGGTACTCCTGGTGCTCCGGGGGAAGTGCCATTGGCATGAGTTGATTTAAATACCCCCAGCTTACCTACACATTCCTTAACATGCCCTTCACTCTGCTCACAAGTCAAAAGAAGTCTTTTCTTCAAAGACTGGGGCAGATGTTGAACCTTTCGGCATTGCTCCCCTTCATCCACTCCTCCTTTTCACTGAGCTGAGCCCTGGTGCTGTGCCTGCCATGAAGCCCAACAATCGTACACCCACTGGATGCATGAGGGGAATTTCATTGCTGCAACCTCAGGCACAGTGCCAGGATCTCAGGTGACATGACGTTTCTTGTGAATAATCAATAGCTATAGTTTTCTTTATTTTTATTTCTTTTGCCATAGTTCATGACCAGGGAAAGAGCAAAGGAAGCACAAAATGTAATTAGTGCCTGTGTGTCTTCTGCCTGAGGACATTTTGAATCTTACAACTGATCTATATTCAAGAAATATTGCGTTAAAATGGCATTCTCATTGAATTTTCTATGTCATTCAAAAATAAGATGGTAGAACAGCTCTGAATCACACTATTTCTCAGACTTTGTGATGTGAATACAGAAAATAGCTCTCTCCCCCCATTTCTTTTCAAAGATTTAACCACATGCAATAGCAAGAGGTGACCTTTCCACACCACCTTTAAACCTACTAATCAGGACAAATGACCCCACATAATTACAGGCAAACAAGAGCTTGCCAAATGCCAAGCTGAAAATACTTGTTGTGATTAATTTTCCTCAGTTTTTATGGCTTGTCTACAGCTCACAACTTTGTAACTCTCCCAGTTTAAGTAAAAAATTAGTGTGCTTTCATGAACATTTTATACATTTGTCCACACCTCCATGAGCCCCTCCTGCCTCTCCACCATGTCCTTGCCCAGCACCCCTTACCTGGTTTCTGCCTGTAACATGATGTGGAGATGTTGGTATGAATGAACCCTGGACATCTCATATATTTCAGCAACTTCCCTTCACATTTTTCTTGAGGAAAATACTCCAAATTTGTTTTTTTCCTGAAGAATTGGAACTGGTTTTGTATTTTTTGTATTTAATTCCTCAAGGAAGAAATGTTCTCAGATCTTAATAAGATTATCATAATAAGAGTGTAAAATAGGTCACTGTGTATACGAGAGGTACAATATACAATACAATAGAGGTATATTGCCTCCTCTGGAGAAAACAGAGTATGATTTATAGGTGGGAAGTGTGTCCTGTGTAAGTAATTACAGACCAAAATGCTAAGATGCGTAGGGGCTTCTATCACTTGTGTTCCCTTTCAGAAGCTCTTATTTCAAAGCTGAAGAATATTGTGGGTCGTCTGGTGCACAGCGTGAACCTGACACTCCTCTGGCACATGTCCTGTGAAGCCAGGCATTTGGAAATGCTTGCTGTGTCCTTCATATGTTATGTTTGGACGTCTCTTCTGAAAATCAGACATGGTTATCCCTAACTCTGCAGCTTTCTTTGCTGAGCTGGAGGGACTATAAGTGCCATAGTAAATCTCAGACTTCTTTTAAAAAGAAGTAACTGCCTTTTGCCTTGTGTATGTAGCACTTTTCCTGAATGTTTTTTTCCCTGGAAGTCCTAAGGTTTAGCCATGTAGTAGGGGCAGCTGGTGGGACTTTGGAAAGGCTGCATCACCCAGGTGCCACCAGAGGCCTGAGAGCTGCTCTAGCAACGCACAGGGAGAAATAAATAAATGCCAGCCTGCTCCAGTGATGTTTTCTGCTTTTTCATAAAGCATCTCAGTGAGCTTCATGAGCCATGAAATGCCTCTTGGCACTAAAACTGTTAGGAGTTAACTATTGACATTGGCAAAAAAAAAAATAATAAAAAATTGTTCTTTATTCTGTATATTTTACCTCCTGAGTGACTGATTGGTTTTGAAGACTGCCTGTCATCCAGACGGAGGCAGGAGCATCGCCATCACACTTTGTGGCCACGCTGGCAGGCAGCTGGGCTGAGCAATCTGTGAGCAATGTCTGGACTGAAACTCCTGAGTACAGTTATCTGCTGCAAACACTCAGGGACAGCAGATGTGCTAGAGGAAGGCACAGCACCTTTCAATTGATTCACAGCCCGAGCAGGAAGGCAAATTGGGTCTCATAATGTGGCCGCCACTGATCACTAAGCCAGCAGAGTATTCCCCAGAAACCAGAACAGAAAATATATGCAATGAGTAGAAAGAGATGGGACTTCACATCACAGCAACTGGGGAATGGCTGGCAACAGGTACGAATGTTTTGCTGCTACAGGGGGAGGCAGAAAAGCTGGGGAAGCTCGGTAACCTCAGAGCTATGGACAAGGGGAATGAGATCGGTGTTAACAAGTGAAGGAGATGAACACAAATGAACCTGGTGTCCTGCAGTAACTGGAGCATGGGGGACATTTTAAGCTGGTTTGTGATACAGAAATAAAGCTTAGTTTTGGGGCTGTGGAGAGTCACCTGGAAGGAAAAGAAAAGAGGAACCACGCAGGTTTGCCAGTTGCGGAGGATGGGGAGGATTTGGCAATGAATCCTTGGTGCCATGCCTTGAAGGCTCCCTAGGCACCTGGGATAGGGTCAGGGCCAATGTGAAGCATTAGATAAACTCTATAATGAGGAATGGAAATTAGAAATAGCAAAAATATGGCTTGCTTCATCCCTGTTCGAATACCTACCTTATTCCTAACCAGCCAGGAGTTTACTAGGGCACTTTAAAGTCATTTTAGTAGGTCAGCTCATCACCAGAATCTGCTTATGCCCAAAACATGTGAAATTACTTCCTGACAGCCAGCAAACAAGAAGCAGACAGCAGCAAGACACGTCAGCAGCAGCATAAGGGCATATCAACCAGGCAGAAGACTCCATAAAGTGCATTTTGCTGCACTATGTCTGGGTCCAAGCACCAAAGAACTTGCTCCTTTCAATAGCAATGGTGCTGCATGGCCCAAAGCTTTCCAAAAGAGTGGTCTGCATGAGGATTTATCTCCAGTCCTCTTCTACTAAACACAACAGATTCTGGCAAGATACCAATCTCACTTGGCAAATGCTTCACTTCAGGGTGAGTCAGTGGTGCAGCCCAGAGCCCACTGCTAGCCTGGGCAATATGGAGATTGTCTGCTCCTCTGTAACACCAGCAAGATGCATCTCCCTACAACACCATCAGTGTTTAGAGAGTTCCCAGCCCAGGAAAAAAAAAAAAAAAGACAGCCCACAAAACTTGGGGTTTGGCCACCTCTCACTCAAGGGGCAATGGCACTCGGGTGGTGACAGTCATTGCAAACAGAGCTTCTTCTCTGTCAGTCTCAAGAGCAGGACTTTAAATATACGTTAATGGGTGAAAAGTCTCATGAGTAGAGTTGGTTAGAGCTAGTGTTTACTTCAGAGATAAGTACATTTTTTAAAAGTTTTAATTAAAGATGAGTTGTGTCAAGTATGTTTAAAATTTTGTTTGTTTGCTTTACTCAAGCTAGCATGCTTCTAAAAGTACTGTGTTCCTTTAATGATAAAATAAAACATTTCCCAAACACCTGAGAGGAGCAGGGACTCTCTTGACAGACAGCTGGGAGACAATACAAAACAGCAACAAATATTTATTATAAATATTTATTCCACCACTGCCCCAGGCAATACTTTGCAAAGGTTTTCTTCTCATGAAACTATTCAACTCTCTCAGCTGAGTAGATGTAATGCATTAAAAGCGCTGTTTACACACAGTTTCTCCTATTCCTTTGTGGCTTTGAGTACATTACATTTCATTTTTTAGCCAGCTTGTGTACGTCTATCTATAAAAGTCTTTCCCTACGTGAGCAAGAAACCAAAGACTACCAAGCAAAGCTGTTAATGCGTTGCACTGTTTCCTTAGCTGTCAAGCCAGGATTTATGTGTTTAATGGGCTCGTTGCTTGTTTTGTCCCACCAAGACCAGTAAGGCAGCAGATCCCCTTGCAGGGGACACTACTGGGTAACCCACACAGGGTGTGACATGGTGGGGTGGGACTGGGCACTCCAGGGCTCCCTGGATGAGGCAAAGCCCCTTTTGCTGGCAGAAATGCCCCAAAATGTTTTCTCTCACAACCCACCCCCAGCTCTGCCCTCCTCTCCCAGCAAAATGGCAGCAGGCAGAGCAGCCATTTCTTCTGGCCTTTGGCGACAAGGCACAACCAGGTAAGAGCCTGTGCTACAACAAACACCACAGACCCAACCATGTTTTCCTCCTGATGTTGTTAAATTGTGTGTTGGTGTCCCAAAACCAGGCTGTTTCATCTCACCCTTTTCTTGTCGTTTCACTGCAGCCGGCCCCAGCGGCAGAGACGGGAAGCCCACGGCGAGGCGCACAAGCAGGGCAGGTAGGCGAAGGCAGAGGGAAGCAAAATCGTCTGAGGCTGTAAAGAGTCTAACACACAGGCCATAAGTAGGATTCATGCTGTTAACGGGGTCAAGCAATGCCTGGGGGGACGCCAAGCTCCCCTTGTGGAGCCAGAGCTGGATGCCACAGCCATTTTGTGCGGCCCTTTGGCTTCGCACTGCAATGCTGCGTGATTTGTGTCAGGCGCGGGGCAGTATTTAGGTCATGTATAATCCCCTCTGCCCCTGGTCACTACCGCGGCCACCGGTGCCTGCCTGGCACGGTCAGACATCCAACAATTTGGGGCTGTCTGGCCAGGACCAGACAGTGCAGGGAAGCAGCACAGCCCCCAAACCCATCCTCCTTCAGAGCTGCAGAGCCCCAAACCTCCAGTACAACCAGCCTGACTTCCACTGTCACCTCTGGGGCACGTTTCCCTTTTCAGAAGTGAAAAAAATGTAAATTGCATCACTTTGGGGAACAACCAAGCTTATTTTTAAACTGACCTACCAGACTCAAGACCAATCCAGTTGTTTTACTTGAAAGACGTTTTGATTTTTTCTGTACTTCAGTACCGAAGCAAAATTTAAAATAATAATAATAATTTGAAGTGAAAAAAAGCAACAACACAAATCTTCAGAAAGGAAAATACTTCAAATTTAAACATGATTTCTGGCAGGACAGAGCGTTTTCTTTTTTTCTATTCTGATTGTATTTCTGGGTTCTTCACCAAGTTGAAAATGTGAAAGTTTCAAAGCAAGAAAACAAAAGAAAACCAAACAACAATAGCGGTTCTTTTTCTTAAAACAAAATAAAAACTACTGGTTTAACAGCTTTATTTAAAATAGACATAAACATATATTTTTCTCACATTTTTACCAAAAATTAAAAAGTAAAATCACTACTCAAGATTAAAATATTTTCTCTTATCAGCTTTTTGCTCATATTGGAGTTTAAAAATTTTCAGAATGAGCCACTGTAATAAAGGTATGGCCAAAAAATTAAGATGAACAAAAATGATCCCCATTATCACAGCCATAGAACCACAGAATCACTAAGGTTGGAAAAGACCTCCAAGATCATCTGGTCCAACCATCCCCCTACCACCAATGTCACCCACTACATGGCATCATGTTCATAGTTCAAAACTGAACAGTTGGGTTCAGTGACAGGAAAATATAAATAAATTAAAAACCACCACAGCCATTAAACATAGGAATAAGGACTGGGAATGCAAAAAGCCCTCTTATATGCTCTCAATAATGCCATTCTTGCTCATATAAAAGGACATGTAAAAAGTTAAGTGATATATAGTCCTAAAACGTATTCCCCTTATATTTCCAGTTAAACTATTTTTAGGAAGGTTAATTATTATTTTTTTTCCAATTAAACTATATTTAGGAAGGCTACAAATGTGGCTGACAAAGGCCAAAGTGCTGATATGGTAGAGTTAGGTGCCCGTGAAGTATATGGTGAAGACTCAGGAGATATGGCTAAAACTTACCACTAGATAGTATCATGCAAATGAATAACATATCCACTGTAAACAGATTAAATACAGGGGAGTTGGTGTCTCAGAATCTCGTTGCAGATGTAAGACTATTTCTGAGCAAGCAGTTTAAAATAGAAATGTGAAAAAATGTGTTATCATCTGCTGTTATTCAGTATCTTTAGTAGCTGATAAAACCCGTGAAATGATTGCTAGTCAAGGTTACGAAGAGCACAAAACAGTGGAGAGGCAAATAGTTGTAGGATTGGTCAGTCATCCCAAATTACCTAAGCTATAGACTATTTGGGCAATATGCCGAATGCATGTGCCTGGACATGAGGTTGTTAAGCATGAAATGTGTAGGTCCCCCAGGATGAGGAGGTATGCACTGTGGAAGGAAGTAGCCCATGAAATGCATCATGTATGAGCACAAATAAAAGTGGGGAGCAAAAAGTGTGCTTATCACCTCATGTGAAACAGGAGAAGCAATGTTCAGTCCCTAAAAGCCAGTGCCATGCTCCTTCCCTCTGCATGGAGCCCTTCTGCATGGCTCTCCATCCCACTGCTCTCCCTTCCCTCTGCTCATGTCAGGGAGAAAAGTGCCTTTCTGAGCACTGATGATCCTCTTGAATGTCTGAAGTCTTGCCAGTGACCTGGTAATAACACTCCCCTGTCTTTTTATTTAACAAAATAAGGACAAAATAGGGGGAAAATGCCATGGGAAGAGGCTGAATTAAACAAATTTAAAGTAGAAGCAGGGATCACCTTTTAAACTGCATTAGGGGTAAGCAGTGACTTTAAGACTCATCAGTGTGCAGATGAATCTTAACTCCTATAAATTACTAAATTGAGACTGACCAGGTCTCAAAAAAGCTCAGGGCTTCAGGGAGGAGTCACTGGTAACACCTCTTGTCCCTGTTAGGAGATTGTTGTATTGGTTTCTTGGGGTACAACTGCCTATGAGAAGTACAGCATGGTTAGGCAATCTCATTTAGGACGAGTTTTATCACAGGAAAATATTCCCTGCCAACTTTCTTTGTTTTTCTGGGTTTGTTTAATCTATTGCTGACGTGTCTTCTGCGTAGTCAGACAAGTGCCTCTTGGAACATAGCATCTTTTCTCAAGCTAAGGAACAGCCAAGCCTTCCCTCTCTGCTGCTGTGTGGCTGCTGGGAGCGCAGGAAGGCTCCTCACATGACTGGGCAGCAGAAAAGGTGCTGCAGCTTCTGTCCCAGCCAAAGGTCTGGGGAGCCAAATAGAGCTTTTCAACTCCAGAAGTGGATTTGGAAGAGGAGCAGAGCACCCTCTGCTCACCCTCTGCTCACCCTCTGCTCACTGCTGTTGAATGCAGCTCTAGCAGCTTCCGCAAGGACCATCCTAGACTCTAGTCTTTAATGCTCCTTTTTATCTCTGTTGGAAATCTGGAGCAGGAGCTAATCATTTTATCCCCAGTTAGGGGACGGCCTGCCTCCTGGCCTGGTTCCCAGCCTATCTCCATTTTGTTCCTGGGCAACAGCCAGTAGCTTATTTTATATATTGTTTCCCTAATTCCTGGCCTGTCAGAAATCACTGTCAGAAAACTTCCTTCTTACTTTTCATTTCCCCACTTAACCACACGCACACTACTTCTCCAGCCCATACACGTGAGTGATTGTATCCAAACTGTGTGATAAGCCCAGCCAATTTTACAGACACAAACCAAATGTCCTCGCAGGGTGCCAGAGCTACCACAGGTGCCCAAGCATTCTGTGTTGGTTTTGGGGACGTTTTGTGATCACAGTTTTGTGAACTACTGCAAGCACTCGCCTGGCTGTAGCTTAAGGGGTAAATGAACCCAGGCAGGTTCTGGTTTTAGGACTGAAGTGGGTGTGTGCTTCTCACAGGCACCGTGCAGGACTTACTACCTGTGTTTCTCTCTTCCCAGTAGCCCAATCCTGAAACGAAGCCCTGACATCACCAAATCTCCACTGACAAAGTCAGAACAGCTGCTGCGAATAGACGACCATGACTTCAGCATGAGACCAGGTTTTGGAGGTATGACACCTGCACGTTTGTCATTGTTCCTATTTTACACCAGCACTTCTTTTTTAGCATGTAGTCAGCCAACAAGCAGGCTGACAAGCAGAGCCTTTTCCGTCTCTAACTTTTATTTTTGTTGTGAATTCATGACATGCTCAAGGGGACAGATGTACAGGAAAATAGCCATCTTCCTTGGATGAACAAATAGCTTAGTTGAATTAATGGAAGTGTAGTTAGAGGCAATTTAATATTCCTGGTATTCAGTGGCACGTTCTTCTGACAAAATCTACAAATACACCTTACATGTGTTCCTGGATGACAGGGAAATTCTACAAACCTGGCTTCCTATGGCAATTTGTATGCACAACCAAATGAGGTGCCATGCTTGCTGACCTGGCTATGTCATTTATAACACAAAATAAAACATTTTGACCGCTGTGTGTTAATGCTTGCTCACAGTGTTGTGGCTGTGCTGTACAGAAAGCTAAGCTTTCAGGGAAAAAGGATGAGGGGGAACACGCTTTCTTTCAGCCTGTGGATTAGAGAATGTTGTAATTTATCTACCCTTTCTGGCTGACAGATGGTCATTCAAATCCAGGCTACCATTATATACTCTGATGGAAGAAGGTTTTATTGATAAATGCTCAATATACCAAACACTAACACGTTCAATTAATTTAAAAAGGTTTCAGTTTCATAGCAGTCCACTAATGTGAGTATTATTTATCTTGACAGATCTCCTGTACTGTAATTGCCAGAGGTATGTGGGGGGCTAGTCCAAGCCTGGAGGAGGGAAACACGAGGTCACAGCCAGACATCTCCCCCTGGGAGCCCCAGGTTCAGTGCACACACCTGTGTGCTGTAATGCAGCCCTGTCCATCACCCTGTCTTTTCCACAGCTAAGCACTGAGTGGTGTGAAAGCCAAGTACATGGAGCAGTTCTCAGAGGTGGCATTAGCCTGAGAGGGGAGCAGAGGATGTGAGGGAAAAATTGGAGTAACTCTCCCACATCCCCTTAGCTGTGCCATTGCTGCTCTCTGTGTGAATGGGAGCTCTGCAGGGCATCCCTCTGGTGAGCTCTAGCCTTTAGCACTAGAGACATTACTCTGAAATTTTGAAGGAATATAGGATGTAACAGTAAAAGAAGTAGGTCAGACTCATTGCTGATTTTGATTGTTATTAGTTATTTGTTATGAATTCCAATCGTTCCTACTTGTAATTAGTTTTCTGTTGTTTCTATATCAGACTGGACATCTGATTTAATTTCTAAGACGTGAGAGGCTGAGGACTACTTTTTCTCACCAAGTTTATACTTTCTCAATTCTTGTTTTCTTTCCAGGCCCTGCAATTCCTGTTGGGGTGGATGTCCAAGTTGAAAGTCTGGACAGCATTTCTGAGGTGGATATGGTAAGCGTCACAGAAGGGCTGAGGCTGAATGGGACGGATGGAGAAAATTTAGTCCAAACTTCTGCTGAGAGCAGGGTCAGATAGAGCGGGCTTTTTGAGGCTCTGCCTGTTGGGCTTGAATGCCTCCAAGGATGGAGACTCTGCTGCCTCCTGGGCACATTATTTGACTTGAATCTGCCAACAATTACTTCCACTGACTCAGGCTATTTCATCCCTCTAAATGTCTTGAAGCAGAAGGCATAAAAGCTAATCTGACATTTTCTTTTCTCTAAGACAAAATGATACAACACTGCCAGAATTGCCCCCAAAGGATTTGGATTTTTACATTTTCTTACAAAGTCAAAGCATATAAAAGCTCTGAGGAGACTAATTAATGTGTTAGGTTTAGGGCACTTTGATACACTGCAGACGAGCTTTCACGTTGACCATGCTCTGAAGTGGTCAGGGCCCAGCTTGCTCCCAGCCAGAAGCCATGTAGCCATCCTAAAATCTGCACTGGTTCAGACCGGTAAGTTCTGCTTTCAGCAGAATGAGCAACAGCATAGAAAAATTCATTAGAGTGTCTCTCTCATGTGGCAGCACCACCATGAGAACAGAAATACCCATTTCAGTGTCCCCTCACATCAAAAGAATGGTTACCACTTTCAACAAGTTACCCATCTCACTGGGAAGTGTGTGCTCATAAGAGGGCAGGAGTTTTCAGAGGGCAGAAGTTTCTCCAGAACCTGCCTTAGGCTCATTAGCAGTTGTGTCACCCCTGCTGTGTGCTGGGGACCAGCGTAAGGCTTTGTCAGTCTGTCCTGGATCTTCATGCTGATGCTAAAGCAGCATTTCAGGGGCATGCAGGACTGATGCTGGCACTCTGCACAGGTTAAATCCACAACAACAACAAAAATCACCTTTTTTTTTAAGAAAGCATTATGATTTTGAGGTACTTCTCTGTTTGTTGAATACTGTTCCTGCCCCTCATGTACCATCAGGCCACAACTCGCAGCAACATGGGGAAAGTGCTGTGTATCACATTGGGTTTAGAAAAATCATTCAGGGTCAGCCTGGGCTATTGACTAAATAATGACGGAAAATACGTTTTATTGCCAGAATCGATTATTTTTAACTCGTGCAGCTTTATTTAAAAGACTATGGTAATGCATTACATTACGCTCTAAGCTAGCATGCTTATGTGCAAACTTGTATTTGAGTTTATCATCAGGTACATGAGAGATTCCCTTGAAATAAGTAAAAAAGCAAACCCAAACCCTCAGGAAGAGCGCTTTGTACTGTGCAGTGTGTACCAGAGAAGAGAAATCATTGCTATGCTGATAAGGCATAAGCTGTGACACGAACCTGTTTGTTGCAGGACTTCACCATGACGCTCTACCTGAGACACTACTGGAAAGACGAGAGGCTCTCCTTCCCCAGCACCAACAACCAGAGCATGACGTTTGACGGCCGGCTGGTGAAGAAGATCTGGGTCCCTGACATGTTCTTTGTGCACTCCAAGCGCTCCTTCATCCACGACACCACCACGGACAACGTCATGCTGCGGGTCCAGCCAGATGGGAAGGTACTTTATAGCCTCAGGTAAAACTGCACTCGGTCAGTGTGAGCTATTAGTGGTGTGGAACGGAAAGTGCTTTAATTGATTCCCGTATTTAATTTTTGCATGACTTCACACACAAAAAAATTACAAGTCTGAATGCATTGGCTAGCCACCAACATCAGGAAGAACAGGCGCCATCCTTCATCACAAGAAAAAATGCTCATGTGTATCACTGGGAGGACAACTGGCCCTCACATGAAGCCAATTTCTGTGCCAGCATTGCTGGTTCCTGCCCCCAGGATCCCTTCACCTTCACTCTGTAACAGTCTCTGGGCCTAGCAAAATGTGTAATTACTATTCTTACAGATAATTATGAAGAAGTATAAATCATACTGAATACAGGTTTAGCTTTATGATAAGCAGCAAAACACAGCATCCTTCAGCACATGAAGTAACAAGTTCCCTTCCCTTCCCTTCCTTCCCTTCCCTTCCCTTCCCTTCCCTTCCCTTCCCTTCCCTTCCCTTCCCTTCCCTTCCCTTCCCTTCCCTTCCCTTCCCTTCCCTTCCCTTCCCTTCCCTTCCCTTCCCTTCCCTTCCCTTCCCTTCCCTTCCCTTCCCTTCCCTTCCCTTCCCTTCCCTTCCCTTCCCTTCCCTTCCCTTCCCTTCCCTTCCCTTCCCTTCCCTTCCCTTCCCTTTTTTCCACAGCACTGATCTCAAGTTTCAAACACAAAACAGATGTCTCGGTAAAGAGCTGAACATTGCTGACCATAAGTCTGAAGAGTATTAAAACAGGATTTTTTTCTTTCTAACTGTTACTTTCACGCTTGGAGGCGCTAAGTGAGGAGCATCTGTCCATCTCCAGAAGAAACTAAAATCAGTGCTGCAGCTTTTCCTGTCTGCAGCTCCATTCAGTTAGAAAACAAGTACTGCCAAATGGCCCATAAAAACCCACGAGAGAGCAAATTGCCGTACAACAGTCTGATGCAAGACTGTCATCATCAGCTCCATAGCAAAGAAACAGCAAAATATGTGATAAATAAACCAAACAGCAGCTAGATAGCATATTCTGAAGGACGAAAAAGGAAGGAAAATCTGGCTGAGAGGGGGGTCAGGAGCACCAAGATGCATGGAGTTAACTTCAGCTAATGATAAGGCTGCAGAACACGCTGCTTGGGATGGTTGTGGAGGCCCTTAAGGGCATGTTAGACAACATCCTTCATGAGGGGCAGAGCTGAGCCTCCTCAGCTCCTCAGCCTACCAAGGCATCTTTCCTTTTATGAAAGGAAACAGTACACGAAATTGCCAGGCCTGGGGGTATTGGTGTGACAGGAATTTTCTTGTTCTATGATATTTTTTATCATACTGTTAACTGCGAGTCACAGCCTGGGCAGTGTCAGCCTTCTCGTTATTAAAGCTTTTTTCTTCACCCAGCGTGTTTGACTAGGTTCAGGTGCTCCTCAGGCCTTTGGAAAGTTTGCTCAGGTCCTTAGAATGATAACAAAATGATGTAATAAAGCAATGTAACATTCAGCTATACCACACATGCCTATACGCTCTCTCATTTAGCTGCATGATACCAGTCATTGGCACTGAAAGCATTTTATCTGTCTGACAAAGATGCAAAAAGAATATCGAACTACTCAGACGCTGCCACACACAGACTTGTGCTTAAGCAGATCGCTTATAACCGCCCTGCACAAAACAACAGCACTTTAATTTATTCGGTTGTGACTGCACGTTGGAGTGCTTTATGGATGCTGGGGAAGTACGAATACTTAGCAGCAAACAGGTCATTGCTAACCGACTGTATATTTTGTTTTTTTCCCTTGGTGTCTGCCTTTTTAAGGTTCTTGCCAGACGTTGTCTTCTGTTTTCTTGGAAAACGCTGTAGACCTCGCTGGCACCTAAGCAACAAATCTGTGCCAAGCAGTTTGACTCTGAGACAAAACACAGATAGGAAAGCAACATCACTGTGAATCCACACACGCAGGAAGACTGCTAACATAAGGGGCTGCATCTTGTTTTTATCGTTCTGTGACAGATGTCTGTCTATCTTTAACCCTGTTATAACTCATTAAGTCTCTCCCCATTACAATTCATGTTTTTCTTTTCATTTGCTTCCCCGAGTTCAAGCCAGTTGAGTCAAGATTTACGGTAGCTTCCAGTGCAAACACAAAATAATGCCATTAAAAACGACATAATCAGACTACAGCAAGAGCAGAGCTTTTGATGTACAGAGCAGAGCATGTCAGCCGTCTCGGTTGCTCGCCAGCCCCAGCCCAAAGTCGAGGCACTGCCTGTGCCCTCTGGTGGTTGGCACCCATGGGTGACCACCGGGCTTTCACCGAGCTGCTGGAAACTGTGGGGCATGGAGAAACCCACCTGCATCCTTCACACCACTAGGATGGCTTTGATAAACCTAAATTAGTTTATAATACAAAGCATCTACTGAAAGTACAGATCTCTGTGGAGAGGTATTTGCTGGCAGACAAAAGGGATAAAGTGCCCTCTCTGTCCTTTCCCATTTTCATCTCCAATATTTATGCCCTCTAGTAGCAGTTCATTGTGGCCTAACTCTCTAGCCCCCTTTGCTAACACTGGTTTACTGAGAAGAAAAAAAAAGCAGCATGGTTTTAGCTGAATGGGATATATTTATTTTCAGTGGACTGTTACTGGCCAGGTAGTTGCTTAAAAAACAAACCTGCAGCTTTACTACTTTTCAGTCACATGAGAAGTCAAGTTTTTAATGATTTTTCTTTTTTAATTATTCCTAGAGTTACAGTAACAGCAATGTGCAACATGGATTTCAGTCGCTTTCCCCTGGACACACAGACGTGTTCCCTGGAGATTGAAAGCTGTAAGTAAAGTGCAGGCACAGGGGAGTCAAGTGCTGCACCCCGTGGTGTATTTAATTATATCAACAAGCAGCTGCCACATTCGTGAGAGCTCTAACCAAAGTCAGTGAGCTCCAACACCAAGAAAAATTTCCTGCCTGAATTTTTCCACTAGAATTAGACAGTTTTTGCAACAAAGCAGTGTTTGCAAATGCCAGCTGAGTACCATTTTGCCAGTGTCCCTAAAAGTCAGCCAGGCTGCCCTGCTGCCAGCCCATCCCCAGAGGGCATCAGGACACTCGCCTGTAGGTCGGTGGTGTCCAGCAGCACCGCCTTGCCCAGGCACCTTCCTGCACCACAGATCTTAAACACATAAATATAAGGCCCTGCACCCTCCCTGTGCACGTTCCTGTTCATCTGTAGCGTAGAAACCATGATGGGGCAGTGGTATTAATCACCTTCTCTTTACGTTCCTTATATCTATGTGATAGAAACCTAATTTATCCCCACAGGTGGCTCCTTTGTCCTCTGTATTTCATACAGAGGCATTTTAAACTTCTAGCTTTTCAGGAGGTGTTTCTTTTCCTTAAATTTGCAATATGGAATTATAATCTTAATTCTGTTTTAATACAGTTTTTATTACACCTGGGCTGCAGGTGCAATAGTGGCTGGTTCAGTGCACTGCACTGAGGTTTGCTCTGCTCCCTTAGATGCCTACACCGAAGATGACCTCATGCTCTACTGGAAGAATGGGAATGACTCCCTAAAAACAGATGAGAGGATATCTCTGTCCCAGTTCCTGATCCAGGAGTTTCACACCACCACCAAGCTCGCCTTTTACAGCAGCACAGGTGGGTACCAGAGGGCCTGGCAGAGAGCAGGCCGCAGGGCAGGGCTGAAGGCTCTTGGCCTTGGCTGCGGAGAACTGTCCATTGGGAGGTCCTTATGGGTCCCACCAGACCTGCCTCTTTTCTGTGCCAAGGTGTCCCCTGCAAGATGTCAGGGATCCCTGACAGAGACGTACATCTTTGTGGTGAGGTAGTCTTGAAAGGCAGTACCTCTTCAAGATCATACCAGGCCTTAATTCAAGTCCCTGAGTGTACAGGCTATATTATATTCTCTGAAGGTCTGATCCTGTTGAGATACTTTCATAGTTGGTTCAGTGAGGAGTCTGTTCTGTAAAGTGCAAGAGTCTGTGGTTATTAATTGTTTTCCTAAAAGCTCCCCTGGTACATCACGTTATCTGAAAGTAGTTTGATGTTGGTGTGGTGCGACTTCTGTGTTTCCTTCTCCCTGTCCTACAGGTTGGTACAATCGCCTCTACATCAACTTCACCTTGCGCCGTCACATCTTCTTCTTCTTGCTCCAGACCTACTTCCCCGCCACTCTCATGGTCATGTTGTCCTGGGTGTCCTTCTGGATCGACCGCCGAGCGGTACCTGCCAGAGTCCCTTTAGGTAAAAACGATCTTGGACTCGGCACACCTAAGAGGCAGTTCCATGCAGTTGTGGCCTTGGCCATCAAGACAAAATCACCTGTGCTATGCAGTGTATAAGTGGCACAGACATCAGCTGTGTCACACATTCCTCCCATGGAGGAGGAACTGGCCCGGGGACCTCTCTCTGTTCGCCCTGCAGTGCCAAGAGAATTGCTTTCCCTGCTCTCACGAGTGTCAGCTGCACCTGGTGCAAATCAGGGAGCAAATGTCACGCTCTTGTCTTATTGCCGTTAGCAGATACATGGGACACAGAGAGCCAAAGTGCTGGTATCCTTCAGAGACTTCAGTGAGCAAAGAGGTGAAAATCGCTATTAGCAGCCCCGAAAAATTCCAGTTTATTGATTTTTTTCTGGAGGAGAGAGGGTGGAGGTAACATAGCAAGCCAAGCTGCATTCTTTAACTTGTTAAATAAGATTGCAGTGCAGTGTGAGGGGTACAGCATTCCCTTCTGAAGCACCCTTCAGACGGATGAAGCCATATGCCAGAGGAGTCGCCACGGGAGCAGAACTATGTTATGGACTTAGCTCTTCTAAAGAGGAAACTTTGCCTTTAGCAAAGTGCAATTAGTACATGTGCAGACTTTGAGTCCAAGCTGGCTTCCATTTGTTCCAAGCAACACCTCTCAGGGCTTTATTTATTGTTAAAGCTATGTTCCTCAGTGGAGAGGGAACAGACAACAGAGACAGCAGTGGGCCACAAGAAACAGCAGCCATTGCCTTGAGACATCACTGAAAGGGAACTTAAAGGTTTGGGCCGTGGCTTGTTGAGATGTGGGCACTGCCTTGAGCAAAACTTTTAGCACCAAAGTCAATTAAGATGTCGGGAAATTGTAATGGCAGCTGTATTTGTGATGAAAAGTCAAGCTTGATCACGCCTTATGGTCTCTCTGCTGCTGTGTTCCCAGGGATCACCACCGTGCTGACCATGTCCACGATCATCACGGGGGTGAACGCCTCCATGCCCCGTGTTTCCTACATCAAGGCAGTGGACATTTACCTGTGGGTCAGTTTTGTGTTCGTCTTCCTCTCGGTGCTGGAATACGCGGCCGTGAATTACCTGACCACTGTGCAAGAGCGGAAGGAGAGGAAACTCCGGGACAAGGTGAGTTTTTCTATTTCTGATGCAGCGTTATGCTACTGAGAAAAAGTGTGGCAAATGTTTGGAAATGTAAAAAAAAAATGGCTACTACAGTGCGTTGCTCTCGGCTGCCTTGGGAGAATGCAGTGCATGCAAGGAGACAGCAGCAGTGAAGCATTCCTGGTTACAGAGATTTGCTACAGACACCTGACATCCAGGTTCAATCCTCCTTCTTCAGGACCCGAGGGCATTATGTCCCTCAACGTGTAGCCCTCCACTGGCTGTATAAATGGGAGAGGTTTTAGGTTTGTCCCTTTACATATTTTTTTGTGCATTGAACATCCAAACCTGTGGGTAGCATCACACAGATACCATGTTTTGGGTTTCAGATAACATGGCAGATTTCCCACATCTATCTCCAAGCAGACTCTAGACTTACACACAATGGTCCAAACTTCCTCCTTCTGCCTTAAACTACAACCACCCAAAATTCAGTCTAAGCTCTTCTCTTCAAATGGGCCAAGCCTGATACGTTCCTCGTTGAAGGTTCCCTCTGCCCTATTCTCTGCTTCAAAATACAGATCCAACCTTTATTTACGCCCTGGTACAAGTGCTTAGGACAAAGGAACTTTTTCACAGACAGCCCTGCTTTCTCTGTGACTGCGTTGTGTCCAGCAGGCACGAAATTACAAGAAAAAAAATTACAAGAAAAAAAAAGGAAAAAGCTGCTGCTCAGCTGCATTATCTCATTCTCCTTTTTGTGTCCCAGCAGCCTCAGTTCCCCAGGCATGTCTCACTTTGTAAGGAGCAATGGGATGCCTGTGAATACCGGGACATAACTCAAAAGCATTCTGCTCTGACCTGTGTCCGCAGCTTCCCTGTGCGTGCAGCCTACCTCAGCCCCGGCCCATGATGATGGACGGCAGCTACAACGACGGCGACGTGGGCGAGCTGGGGCACTACGTGTCCGAGAACGGCGACAAGCAGGACAGGATGATGGTGCAGCTGGCGCTGGGGTCCGAGAGGGGCTCGGGCAGGAGGAAAAACCAGAGATACGTCAGCATGAGGATCGACACTCACGCCATCGACAAGTACTCCAGGATAATATTCCCTGGTGCATACATTCTATTTAATTTGATATACTGGTCGATTTTTTCATAAACATCTGTAACTTCCATAGTCACGGTGTACTGCCATGGTACATGAAGGTACTGTCTCATAGGTGAACAGAAAGAAAATAGAGATTGTTTTAAATTTGAAGGAAGGAATATCACAAATATTGATTTTTTTCAGGATTATATTTTTTTTTTATTAGATGCAACTCATCTGTGGCATAAATAACTGTGCAAGTTTCACATTTCAAATAAATATAGGATATACAATCTAAAACCTTATACTTATTTGAAGCTGTGCTATGTTCCTTCTTGTGCCTCACAGGCCACTGTAAGCTATTTTAAGAAGTGACAGTAATTGCCAGCTGCTTATGTATGGTGCAGGTTCCATTGTGTGCCCCTGAAATCCTAATTCTTTCAGTACTTGAGCACATGCAAACATCTCTGGACTCAGCAGACTTACAACACTCAATGCCGATGAATACAAGGAATATGCAAATGGTTGCGTGTTTGCAGGATGAGGTCAGAAACAGCTACTGCAAACACGAAATGCCCAGTACTGGGAAATGCTTTGGCAAGGTTATTGAGGGCCAAAGCTTGCTTTCAGTGCTCAATGCCTGCCATGCTAGCAGTACTGCACTGACAGAGCCAAGCAGTAGTAGACTTGTGCTATGTCTGGATTGTATTTAAAACAGAGAAGCATTTTGAAGCTGTTTTGATTAACCTTTTGAAACATAACTTGCAATGTACATTTCCTAAGGAATCTCGCAGTCCGAACAAAAGTTGGACTTTCTGTGATGCCAGCCAAATCCTCCACAGGACCTCTCCTTGGATCTGCTTATTCAGGTCAGTGGGAGTTTTGCTCTTGAGTTTCCTGGGAGAGGAAAAAAATTTCTCTGCAGTGATCCAGCAAAGACAATTGGGTGTCTACAAAAAGAATGAAACTACTGTAGGAGAAGCCACTTCTCTCTGCGATAGTCCAGGTGCTACAGGAGAGCTCCGTACAGACCGAGTGCTGAGACACTGTTGAAGCCTGTGAAGTCTCATCCCTGCTAAAGCCACTGGTGAGTGCACTCACTTCCAGGAAAAGCCTACTCTGTCCAGATTTAGTAAAAACATAGAAGAAGGGTGCTCAGCAGGTCACAAAAGCAGCTGTAAGGACTTTATGTCAGTTACTAACATAGCTATGTTAGTAGCAGTAAAGTTACCATGCTGAAAGCTTTGGAATGAAGTGAAAAGGAGCCTCCACCATGAGACACCTGACCCAAGTCCATCTACCCGGCTCTGCTTTCATGCTGGATCCTTCTCCTGGCACCTCGCAGCCCTCCATGCCCTTGGAGGAGGCTCAGTACCTTCCAGGGCAGGAACAAGAAGACAAAGCTGGCGCTGGGGGCACTCAGCACTGACTTAAGTCCCTACTTGACATCACGGTTCCTGCAGAGCAGCCAGCTGTAATGTAGAAGCAGTAAAATATTTCAGGAAATTACTTCAGGAAAAATAAGAGTTGGTTGAATATAATCAGGGGCCTTTAAAATAATCGGAGTTTTGAAGGTATCTCACAGAAAAACTGGTCTTTCTGTTGGCGTGCTGCTAGGCGTTACCCACCTACGTCTGCACAGCTGACTGCAGCTGCAGGGGTAACAGGACTTCAAACACCCGCAGGCTTTGCACAAGGCTATGAAATTCTGCAGGAACATTTTCTACAGCAACAACGTTATCCCTTACACAGCAGATGCTGTTGTCTTTCATGCGTGTAGCTGCTCTGAGAATAAAACCAAAGCAGTAGTGTCTCCAAAAGGAAAGCGAATCCTCTTACACAGAGTCTGCCCTGGACTATCTGATCTGCTACTACAGGCATTATGCTTGTGACACTGACATTGCAGCTGCTTGAACACTGCTGATCGTTGCTTTAATTTAATATGTAAGTAAATTTCATGTAAAAAAAAAAAAAAAACACAAAAAAACAAACACAGCATTTCTTACAACTGCTAAAAATCAAGAAACATGGAAAGTACCTTTGCTATACTTATAGCTTACACTCCAACAAAATCACAAAAATTACAGTAATTATAAGACAAAACCAACCACAAGATAGCTTTACTACTGATTTCTATACAACTTTTTCATCTCATATAGATACCATCTTAGCTTTTTACCGAGTTTCCTTCTTGTTATTCTCCAGTGAGATTTTTTTTTCACGAGATAATTAAAAATACATATATTTTTTAAACCATAAACAATTTAATCAGATGAAAGTAGAAAGCTCACCATGGCAAAAGCATCAGCAGTGGCCACCCTCCTTTATTCCGATGGCACCTTAGCCCACAAATAGCTCCAAGCTTTCTTGGGGACTGCTTGCACAGGAATGTATTTAGATCCTTGGTGTTGTAAGAACCCATTTGTCTCCACAGTTATAAGCATAGCATGAACAGGAGTGCCAGATTTTAGAGTAAGCCTGACATGTCTTCCTGAACAGATTCCCCAGCCCCCATGTCTGGATTTACGTTGTTAATTTACTTGTGTTTTATTTTGGAAACTCTAGTGCCTTTTCAGTCTTATATAAATGTGTACATAGATGTATTCTATACGGACAGGACATGCCATATGCAGCCAGTGTTTGCTATTAATGACTGTAATCATTAAACATAACCACATATACAGTTTTTGGACTTTTAACCTCGCAGTGTATGGGTTTGTATCCAGTCATAAACACTCTGCTCCTTTTCATTTCCGCAATAAATCAGAGTGGTTTGGTTTTCAGTTTATTTCTAGAAATGCTCAAAATCACAATAAAACTTCACATTTGTACAGCATTGTGTGGTTTTTACCTTCAAAAGAATGATCTCCGTGAGTTTATACGTGTATGTAAGACCCGTTTGCTCCAGTAGTCTGATCCAGTCAAATACCAAATGTCCTTAAATCCCATGACCCTGGGATTTCACAGATAAGAAGCCTGCATGCAAAGTCAAAATCACAGAGGAGATGACACAAAGCTTTCCCCCACTAGACTGTTTGGATGCTACAGGCCTCACTCTTCTTACTTAGGGTGGTATTTTGTGATATAATTAAGACAATTTCTCAGAGGTTAACCCAACACCCAGTCTGGGCTGCTGCTGCCTCTAGAAGTTGAGGTATATTGGTTGGGCTGTGTGAATCCTGCTTAGACACCAGTTCTGCCTGGGAGCACGTCCAGATTAAAAGCTCTGGAGATGGAAGCCTTTAATAGTCTCTAAAGACGTTGGTAAGTGCTGAGAGGGTGAAGCAACAAGAGGAAAATTCAGCCGGAAACAGGTAGAAGAATGAGAAGGCACGAAGAAAATTCAATTTTCTCTTTTCTTTCACAGTAAATAGGATATTTTCATAATAATAATTAGATTTTGGTTTTCTACATCTCATGCCTGAGTGATTCTGTCAGTACAAACCAGAACCAAGCTCCCTGCAAGCCCCGAGGATCAAGCAGAAGCCCCTGGGACTCCCCTCTCAAGGTGGGATTTGATGGAGCTCTGAAGGAGCAGCAATGAGAAAGGAAAAGCACCGCTGTGCCCTCCCATATGGCTTGTTCCACAATGGGACATAGTATGCTCAGGGGAGCACAAGGCACGAGGGCTATTTGGAGGCTGAAACAAATTCGTGAAAGTCAACAAAGTGTAGGTTGTGAAGCATATTTCATTCTCCGAGAACTGAAAGCAAATGTAAACCATATATCCTACTACAGAGTTTAGGTAAGAAGATGGAAGGGTGTTTTGTTCCTTCCATAAAGCCACTGATACCTTGCACAGCAGTTATGCTACCGTGGCACACTGCAATCTTGCCGGGCTGGCCAGTGGAGGTGAGGAAACCCCACTAATAAAAACAACAAAATGCAGGCGCCAGCAGCAAAGAACCAGACAGGCTGGCAGACAAAGGCTTTGTGGAAGGCCGCTGCTTTCAGGACCAGGAAATATTAACCATTAGGAAAAGATGGGATATCATATAAATTTACTTCTTCTTCTTCCTTTTAAAGATTATTTAGTCCTAAATTTGGTTTGAAGGATGCCTGGATGTCACAAATCCAGTGTTCCAAGTCTTACAAATTCTTCTGGATAACAAGCAACTCACAAAAACCCTTTCATGGTTTTTCTTTTTTTAAACCATAATGATTACAAAGCGAGTTATCTTCCACTGTGAACATTTCCTTAGCAAGCATTTGTTTATAATGTTTTACAGAAGCTATTTCTTTTATATACACCATCACACGTCTACAAAAATGAGTTTTTGATATTTAAAGCCAGCTTAAGGAAATCTTTGCAAATACTTGGGAATCCAAGGCACGCATACAAACCTCAGGATTAGTATGTATAACATTTCTAAGCAAACGCAGTCGACATTTCAATGTAGAGAAAGAACTGGTGGATTGCAAAAATATTTCCACCAAAAAAAAAAAAAAGCCTTAAACTCTGTAACTCTACATCTGCTGCTTTGTTATGAGTAAAAGAAAGGTGGAAGTGCCTTCATGGACTTCAGAAGTTGCTTACGGTACTTCACCTGTATTGACCTGTTATTTCTGAGGCGCATATTCCTCAGCAAAAGTCATTTTGAAGGGAACTTTGCCTCCCACCTTCTCTCTTAAATCTAAAGCCTACAGCAGTTCCCAACCTTTTCCTTTTCAACCCAGTGCTGCGAATCCTCCTTAGGCGTGACCAAGGCCAATAGTGCACTGCAAAGGCCTCCGGATGTAAATTTTGAAGGCCTCATCTGTTAAAGAGATTTAAAAACACAATTACTGGCGATTTAGTTTTAAATCACCTAGAACTAGCATTGATCCTGTTCATTGGCATCTGTGCTAGGCCACGGTCACAGGACAAAAAAGTCTTTTCTGGTGTTCAGGTTGAATTTCATGGTTTTTAATTTGTGCTCATTGCCTCTTGTCCTGTCACTGGACACTGGTGAGAGAAGTTTGCCTCTTCAGGTATTTCTACACATTGCTAACATCCTCGTGAGCATTTTCCAGTCTCAGCTCTCAGTATTTCCTCATGGGAGAGGTGCTTCAGACCCTTAGCCATCTTCATGGCCCCTTATTTTTTATTTTTTATTATTATTTTTTTTTAACTTCGTGCCTCCTTGATGCATTTATTGCACAAGGACTACATGGTTATGGAAACACAGCTCACAGGAACGTAAAGGTTACTCCCCATTCAGCATTTGATGAAAACCTACTGGACTTGCATACACTGAGCAGCTTAACTCAGCCAACTACAAGCTCTCTCCCTCAAGTACTTTCATGAAAAGAAGTCTATGGCTTTTGTTTTAAGTCAAGCATATCTTCCACTCATGTTCTAGGACAGACTAATGAGTGAACACTGTAGCTTGGTAGGCAGACACAGGCTTGAAGTTCTTCACAAAATTTGGATGTAATCACTTCATCCTCAAACAGTTGTGATTTGCTATCAGGTAGTCTCTGAATCCTTTGACCAATTAGCTTTATAGACACATTTTGATTCATTCCCCAAAATACTATTCTTGACAAATATTCAAATATTCTCAAATTACAAACACAGTTTGGGGAAAATTCTAGTTGCTGCAACTTGAAGTTGCCAGGTATTTTCATATACATTGTGATTTATGAGCACAGATTACTGAAAATCAAGGTTTATTCCCATGGGACAAATTCTCTCTATTCAAACTCTTATCATTGTAATTGGGAATTAAGAATTTTACCAACTGAAGAACAAATGTTTTGGAACAAAGCAGAATTAACATGACTGTGGAGGCTGAAAAGCCTCTCCCCCTGGAGGCTTTCAGGATTGAGCAGATGAAGCCAAGCTGACTTGATCTAGCACTGAGTTTAGCCTCCCACTTCAGCCTGGAGGCTGGGCCAGGTACAGCCTGAGATCCTCCAGAAGAGCCATCCCAAACAAGTTTCATATGAATCTAGGAATTTTATTAAGTTTAAATAGTGGAAACAGCCCAAAGATTATAATACCATCATATTTCAAGAGCAGCATTATACCCCTCAAAAAAAAAAAAAAAAGTTCACTGGCTAACAAAAACGGAAATGGAAAGCTCAAAAAAAAAAAATCTCTTGCTCTTTCAGAATTATACCAAACAAGAAAAAAATAAACCTGGTATTCAAATGAAGTAATGCAGCACACCAGTATTAATCACAGGACAAAAATCAGTCACAACTGCGTTGTTTTATTGGTGTCAATTCATTTTTAACCAGTACATCAGACAATTTTAATTTCAGCAATGATTGCAACAAAGTTAGAATGTGCTTTTATTACAGAGATGTTCAGTGATCTTGGACATGACCGACAGCTAGTCTAGACAGAGAAATGAGCAGGCAGTAATGCACATCAGTTTGCACATCAGTGCTGCACATTCCTGCCACTGGGTTCCCACCATTACATCTCAGAAACAGAGAAGTAGCAAAGAAACAAATGCAGAGGGAGCAAACAGTTTAAGTACAGGATTTGTCTCTTGTGAAGCTAGAAACAGAATTTAGTAATTAATAAAATATAAATTCTGATTAGACTTCTAGAGTTTCCCATTTAGAGATCTGTGCTGTTACAAACAATGCTTCTGAAATTACTTTGGGTTTATTGACCTCTTGGGGTATAGTTTGCCTGACTTTTTTTCAGAAGCTTACTATAACACCTATTATTTAGGAAAATGTCAGCCACCAGTAAGCTGCTTTTCATTCAGCGTGTCCATTATTCTCAGTAATTTGTATCTGATAAAAAATTAGTTCTTCTGTGTGTTCATATGATCCTTTAATGAGCCAACTAAACATTCTTAACAGGTTTTCACACACAGAACACCCCCTAAATAAGACTTGCTGTTTTAGTTTCTGTGTGAAGTCGGGTAATAAGGATTAAACAAGCTAACCACACACCACACAGAAAGGGCAACTGGAAAGACTTAACAGATCTGATGCTAAGGATACAGGAACAAACAGTTTAGAGAAACCAGTTACTGCACAAGCAATCCTCAGTGCAAGCTTCTCAGAGCTTACTATAGGAGCTTGCACGCAGCAAGTTAAGGTTACCTTCATTTACTGACTCATGGTACCACATTTGCACCTTTTTAAAAAAGCACTTCCACTAGTTTAGCTACATTTATACACTTTCTTTAGATCAGTTAAGCTAGTGCAACACCTTGTGCCCTACACTAGAACACATACAAGCTACTGTTCAACGTATTTAGTTGCTTACTGTTTCTTCTTTTTTTTTTTTTTTTTGATGACCCCTCCACAATACCTCCAGAAATTTGTAAGGAAGGTGGTCAATGCTTTTCAGGACAGTCAACCTTTAGAGATCCTGTTTCTGTATAAACACTTCCATCAGTAGAAGCCACCATCATCAAAAACAGGCATGCCTCCAAACATATATATATCCTTCTCTCCACTGAAACCAGCTCAGGCTTTAGAAGTCTGTCTTGCCCCAAGAAAAAGCCAGACAGAAGTGCTTCATAGGTCAGAATCAGCCTGTGATCAGAGTGAATAATACTTATTTTAGAAGCTTCCACATAAATGCCGTATTTATATATAAGGAATATTACTATTGCAGAGAAAATCACTTACAGGGATCTAAAAACCCATTCAGGAATCCCAAATAGGGATCTAAAATCACTTACAGGGATCCATCACTTATTCAACACTGCAACTGAAAGACAACTGTACTTGAGATCTCTGAAATTTATCACAATACTGACTACAGCAAACATTACAGCTACATGGAAGTGCACATTTTTGAAAGCAGTGATACTATTTGATTCTCATAAAGTCCCTAAAGCACAGGAGAAAATATTTCTTCAGCTACTCGCCTACTCAGCCCCTCCTGGGATTCAAATAGTGTCTCCTTTAAGTCACACTCGTTGAGATGTTTAATGAAGCTTAGCGCGATGCACATGCTCCTGTGTCAACACCAGATTCTTTGCCAGGTTCTGCTGGATTTAGTTGCCCCTCTTCTTTTAGCTTCACTTGTCTAAAGTCTTCTCTGACTTGTTCTAAAAGATCTGGCTTGAAAATGACATCGAGTGCTGTCATTGCCAAAGCTTTTGCTGTGCGCAAAGCATAGAACTGAGCATTCTGTGACCCTATGGAAAAAAAGCAAGAGAAATTTCAAGCCACATTACTAATATTAGACGCAAACTACTAGAGCACCACATAAAGCCTATTTTATAAAATAAGATCCTGGAGATTCAATTACAAGAAGAGATTCTCAAAAATCTAGCTGCATTAAGTGTGACTATCTTCTAATGCCTCAAAACAATTTTTTACATGCAGGTGCTTAACTTCCTATTGTCGAGGTAAACAAGATGGAAAATAGGAAAGCAAATGTTCACACTTCTCTTTTTAGAAGACAGATTTAAAATGTTATCTTTATTTGCAGAGCACTGTGTTTTATGAGTAAAAATTACTGCTATCTTTTGACTCATGTTTAGAAACTCCTCAAAAATACGCTGCCAGGGCTAACACTTCTAACTTCTTCAGAGTAGGCAGTATACTGAAGAGCAGTCTGGCTTTTAGTATAAGGAATGGATCATCTTTCCCATATACATTTAATCTTAAATACAAAAATAGAAGTTAGAGAAATTGTCAGTTGCAGAGCTGCAGAGAAAAGCTAAGTTAATTGTTTCAGGGTCCACATTCAGCTCGGATCTCGTAATGCTCGAGGAAAGCTACTGCACTTCTGGATAGCTGTTTATATGCAGCCACTTCTGTATCTACTACTTACACTTTCACACATTTACTATACATCAGCTCTGAACACCACAGCAGCATGGGAAAACTTTAATGTTGGGCAATGCAAAATATCTAGTTTCTAAATACACCACCACGAAGAGTCAGCAGCCAGACTCCGCAACACCTACAGGTTCTAAACATGAACCTCTGTTTTCTACTTCCACTCACCTGCAGCTTCTGTGTACTGCTCAGTATGATTCAATGCATCAGAGCCAATATAAAAATAAGGATGAATCCCAGGGACTACAAAGGTAACATTTCCAAAGTCCGTGGAACCTAGAAGCAGCATGAAAATTCTCAGTGAATATGTGCTGAAGAGTTTTAAACTGCTGTAGGAAAATGTACAATAGACATTATCTCCATCCCATAATTAAAACAATATCCTTTGTCCCAAATACTAAAATGTAAGCATTTCTAATTGTTCATTATCCATACAAAAATCCCCCATCACAGAGCCAAGCTTTTCCTAACTAGCCATCTTCAGATGCTTCTCTCCAGTGTGCTTCTGAACAATAATCTGTTCCTGGACTGCAAGAAAATGCTATCAACATGTCCCTAATCCATTTACTGTTAAATTTTCATCAAGCATCTCCTGATAGCAAGGTGTAATTCAGAAAAGATGAAAGCTCCAAGCCTTGGAGTTTGGCTCAGGCCAGCTATTTCACACCCTGGTACAGCCCCTAGAAACCAGGCCCAACAGTTACCCTTATCACTAGTATGCCAATGTTCCACATGAGGTAGGGACTCAGAAGAACAAGCTATTTTTAAACAAAGACTGAGGACAACTGTTTTCTGGTATTTTTTGATTGTTCAGTTATGGAAACATTAACAGCACAAGTGTTCTTGAAAAAACAAGATCAGAACTAAACTCCAAACAAGAGAAGTACTTTGTAGATGTCAAGAAATCTTGAGAGCAATGCTGCAGATTTTAATGATTCTTTCATACCTAACACTATCAGTAGGACAGTAGCTATCCCTAAGTACTGCACTGTCCCTTTAAAGATGCCATCCAGAGGTGATGATCCTTTATAGTAAGTCATCCAAGAATCCACAAGTGTTTTTCTTTAGTTTAAAGCCAAACAGGCAATCCACTCAGTATTTAAAGTCAAGTTCTCCTCTACTGTTAAAAAGATGTTTAGAAGCTGGAGAAAGCGACACACCAGTTATTGTGAAACTGAGGTACCACAGAAGGCATAACATGACCTTGTTTCATATGGGGGTAAAAAGGGATGACCCCAATTAACTTTTTTCAGGTCAATCAGAATGTTTGTTTTTTTTTCTTTAGAGATAGCATATGAAAGGACTCTTCCAAAGATTTAAAATTTGTAACACATCAGACAGTATCCATATCATGACATCTTTGTAAGATGATAGAGAAGGTATCATGCCTTAAGACTTAGTAATTAATCAATTGCAGATTATAGATTTTATGTGGAAACTTATGGTTATTAAAAGTGAGTCCACAGAGACTACATTCTCCAACCTATTACCAGTTCCAAGTTATTTTTACTGAATGTAAGTTATTTAAACCAGGCATTGATGGTTTAAAAGATGAGAGTTTGCCAAGTCAAAAGTCAGTTTTTAATAAAATTGTGAGAGTCAATTCTTCCTATCAGAAAAATGTTAGGCCCTTAGTAACAACTTATCAGCATGTCCCCGTAGTTTCCATACAACCACCCAGAACTGTATACTTGCTAGAGATCTACAGATCAGATTTCCGTCTGGAAGCATAAATAATAGCACAGTTATCAATAGGATATATAGATTCATGCACTATCTTCAATAGAAGGGTATTGGGGACTCCAGCCTCTAAAAAAAATATCCTGATGCAGATGCTGAAACCTATTCAAGTCACTGAGCACATCATGGAAGCCAGTTATTACCACAAGCATGAGAACAGGAGAAAATGCATCTGATTCCAGGAAGCCTTTATATTCAGCCCCCGACTTCAAAAGCGTATTTTCAAAACATACTGGCTCCTTATCAACTATGCCTCGGCTATCCACAGGACACCAGCAAAACCTCTGAACACTAAAAATGTCGAAGTTATCACAAGCAGGGGTGCCTCAACTAAGGCTGGGCCATCTGCTGTGGGAGGTCATCAATACCCTGAAGCAGAGCTATCTACCAGCAGGAGGAACAGCTTGTGGCACCTTCTCAAAGCTACCTCATTCTGTCACATCCTTCTGGTTGCGTGCAAAACGAGTGGAGCATGCCATGAGGCAGTGTGATTTGAGAGACTAAAGGAATTCTTCACAATGCTTAGCTGCCTAGAGCGATACCTGTAAGCAGACCGATACTAATACCCATGTAGAGGTGGCAGCGAGTATGCTCATCTGTTAACGACTTTTCTGCTGCACAGACATGGAGAAGCAACTGAGCTATCTTCCTTCCCTTTCAACAGAAGAACCTGATATCCTAAAAGAAAACATTGAAAACCATATGAAAACTAAACAGAAATAAAAGGTCTTGAAAAATATGAGACAAAACACTCAGCCCTCCCCCAAACAGGGTTGCAGCACACGAAATTCTGCTTCTGTCTCTGGAGACTACACTTTATTACTTCTGACCCCAACACAACCAGTATTCACAGGAGAAGCTGTGGAAAGAAAAGTCAGTAAAGGCCCACAGCAGCATGCAATAAAAATTTAATTTCTCAAGTATATTTTGACATTTGACAGGCAATTTAAGGACAAGACAGACATACAAGGAGTTTCAGTTTAAGCAAGTTAATGTTTAATATTTAATCTATCATGTAACTTGAACTAGGAAAGCACTATTAAAAGTAGGTGTTTATGTCAAGTTCACTGAAAGGATCCCCAGTATTCATATTCACAACCTCCTGAACCCTTAGTACAATGTTTTGAGGGAAGGAACCAAAACAGCTCCAGAAAATTCACTACAGTAACCGTTCTAAAATAAGGTCCCTCACGTAAGACCCGTTCTTAGGTTAAATGAGCAAAGTCCTAAAACTTAAATGTACCATACTGAAGGAAGAAAAAACTGCTTTTCATTTTAATCTGATTTTAAATACACACAATAAAAACAATTGGAGAAAACATTATCCAAATTTGGAAGGGAAGTAGCAAATAGAGGAAAACCAACCAAAATAACACTAGATATGTTGTGGCCCCCCTCCAAAAAGTTTGGAGAACTGCCTCCAAACATCAAGATCTCAACTGCCCAAAGATGATGTGCATTTAATATAGGGGATATTAGTAACATGATCAAACTAATGAGAATAACAGTTTTTTACTGAGCACCACTGTTTGTTTCTGACCAAAGAGAAAGACCTTTAACACGAGTGGCCTACAAATGTTTATATATAAAGCTACAAACAGTAGTAAGTCTTCTAAGTGCTGCTGATACTTAAAAAGAGCTCCTGTAGAAGATTCAAGGAAGGAAAAAAACATAAAGGGTAACGAGAAACACACCTAGGCATTCAAGAACTCACCCTCCAATTACAATAGGCCTGAGAGACCAAAAAAATGAAGTAGTTTGAAACACGGTCAAGACCCAAAAGCGAGCACCTACTTGAATCACCACCTTTTGAAAACCCATGTGCTCAATTTGTGAACTAAAATTAGAAGCATAGGATTATCTGTTAATGGAAAGAGGTTTTGATTAGTTCCTGAGATACTTCCACTTAAAAATCTCTTCAAAAAAATCTAAAATTTTAGTTAGATGGTAGTAAACTTGTTTATATGTAAGTTTGGACAATATTATTAAACAAGGTTTCTAGAAGCTAGACCTCATCTCCACTCATAGCATAAAGCAGGATTCTGTATGACAAGCCTCAATTCATTCCAAGTCTTAAGTGTTTCATATTTGAAATATTTTCCAAAGATAACAGAAAAGGATTACAGCTTTTCGTGTGCTGGGGCTACTTCTGAGCTTCCAAAGCACACAAAAACAGGCCAGAGGCACGAACCTCTTACACTACTTCAATTTTTTAATTTGACCTTTTCCTCTGACCCATTTTGTTTAACTTAACTCTAACCCATCATTTCAGACACTTGGAAGCTGATCAATCTAACCTTAAGTCACAACAACAACCAAAAAAAAACAGATTGAGTTACCTGACAAACCATTCAAAATAGAGTCTTCTGATATAAATTCTATTCCAAGCTTCTTTCCGTTCTCCTTGTAAGCCTTCTCCAGGCTCTTATTTGGAAGCACATTGTAGTAATCATTCTCTCCACCTTTTATTTCCACCTAGCCAAAAGAAACAAGTGGTTAGACATTTTTCTCCAACCTAAGCCAGTTTAATGTAAACAATCACAAACAAGGACTGGAGAAGTTAAATACATGCCCCTGTTTCAGGCCCCTATCAAAATGGACTTAAGTGCTAAGTTTATTTTAGCAATGTAACATTCAGCCAAACATTGGCCTTGATGAAAACAGCTTGTTTGCTGTCAAGCTTGCACTAGACAGCCAAGTTCTAGAAGCACAGACTTCATAGACTGCATCTCCACAAACAGCAAACAAAAATGACCTGCAATTGTTTCTAATGATTTCCACTGCAGATACTATTAAGTTAGGTCAAAAGCAATTTAGTCTTCCACCATTATTTTTTTTTATTGTTTTTATATTTAGATCAGGTTCTAATAATCACAGCCTCTTTGTTTATGAAGCAGTCCATGGGACCAGGTGGATGCATCCAAGCGTGCTCAGTGAGAAGGGGGCAGCACTGCAACCAAGGAGCTATGATTTCGAAAATGTCACTGAAGTAGAGGGATGTTCCAGATGACTGAAAGAGTTAAAAGTGACATTTATATTGAAGGGCCACGAGGATCTTGGAAATTACTGACTGTACCATCATACTGACATTATCATCTTGTCCTCAAGCTCCTGGAAAGATTACAAAGCAAATCCTACATCCAATACCCAGGCACAAGAACCACGAGGCAGTTGAGAACATCCAGCATAGATTTACTAAAGAGCAGATGGTGCATAACCACACTTAGCTTCTCATGACGATGTCTGGCGTGGCAGACATGGAACACATTGAGGTTCAAAGGTTTATGATCAGTGGCACAAAAACCCAAATTATCACATGTTTCTTGCAGTAAATTATTGGTGTCATTGCTGGTTTAGTGTTTTTATTATCATTACAGACAACAGGTGAGAGTGCACGCAGCAAGTTTGCCAACTATACCAAGCCAGTGGGGAGCAGGTGAAAAGCTGGAGGGTAGAGGCAACAGATAAGCTCAAGGGTTGACTATGTACTATTCAGAAGGATGTCAAGAGGCCAAAAAATAAAAACAGGTTGACAGAAACCTCAAGAAACCTCAGCTGAATAGCAAACAGTATCACAGAAATTTACATTTTTTCCAGCCAAACACCATGCAGAAAAATGCTGGGCCTGAACAGGGAATATCTCATCTCCAGTGTAACAGAAACACAGGACCATGAATACATACTTACTCTGCATCCTGTGGCCAGTGCTGCAGCTTTGAAGCAGTTCTCAACCTTCTCTGTCAGAACAGAAAGATCTCTCATTGATGGGGCACGCAAGTAGAACTCCAGCTCGGTGTAAGAAGGAATAATGTTAGGTTTCACACCACCATTTTTTATTACGCCTGCAGAAAGAGAAAAGCCATGTTAACAGTGTTAAACCCAACTGCTTGATCTTCATCCCTGCCATGAAACTCTTCACTTGAACTAAATACAGACAAAACCAAAACATCAGCTCAGCATGAAATACAAAATGCCAAAAATGTAGCGCATGGACAAAATTTCATCACCACATTGGATTAAGTGGGATGCGTACATGCTTTCCAGTGTGATTTCATCCTATTCCTTGGTTAGACATCCATTATGAGCCTAAAACTAAACCAAACTAGCATTTATAATTAATCCCCTGGAATCTGATGCATCACAATTGTAAAGCAATCTGTCTGCCATTGACAAAAGAGCTGTTATAAGGGCTACTGTGGATTCCATCTTTTAAAGGTTTCCACATCTAGGGTATTTCCAACTTCTTTTGCCAGCTGGGACAGAAATTTTATTAAGCTACATTTGTTTGCAATGCTGGAGTAATGGGCCTACTCCAGGGGACAAAGTTTGTTAGATTCCTCATACCAATTCTTTGGAATATTGCAGTGTGTACAACATGGACAATTTTATTCAAGGGTGAAGTGCTCCCTCAAGGAAACAACTATATAGCTTTCAGTTATGGCATCAGAGACATTATCATAAAATACCGTAGCATTCAGCTATTTTAACAATAAAAAGTTGTAGACCTCAGTATCACATTAGATTTTAATGCAGTAACAGCTAGCTATTTTACACAGGCTGCTTTTGTTCCTAGGTCTCCTAGCCTCAATTTATATATGTCAAAAACAACTGGTTTTCTCTAGAACCTGAGAAACTACCTTTTCTGCTTTAAATGGAAATACTGCACAAAATTACTGATGGGTAATTTAGATGTGTGTCACTGAAGCCTTAAAAGACAGCGCTATCAGAATGCAAATGGGCAACATATCTTTACCTCCGGTACAGAAAGTCCATAAAGACTAGGAACTTCCACCCCTTCAAGTAGAGCTTTCTTGTCTTGAATACAAAGTAAACAAAGCACTGAAACACCAGTCAGTACTGATCCGTAAAAGGAACAGCTCAGGTGAGATGGACATCACAAAAAAGGGAACCAAGAAGTCAGCAAATAAGTAATCACACGAATCTACATGACAGGACACATTTGCTCAAAACAAGTTGCTTAATGAGCAAACAGCTTCCCCCTATCTTCAATGCACTTGTGAACAGAACAGGACAGGGTCTAGCAGCATGCAGTCTCTTCAGTATCGATATGCAATACTGAATGGAGAGATGATCTTAAGAAGTAGGCTGTCATTACAGATCGTATCCTGCTCCTAGGTGGAACTTCTTTTTTGCGAACTGTTTAATACTGCTTGAAAGGAAAAAATATATATTCCTGTTTTTCAAGGGGCAATGTTTACTTGGAAGTGGAGAAAAGAGAATCCTATCAAATATTAGACAAACATTGTTCAATTACACTGCTCAGAGATTCTAGACATGAAATAATGGAAACTATTTCAGTGTTTGTTAGTGGGTTAAGACTAAGATTTTTAGGCATCACTTAAGGCAACTAGTGATGTTACTGAAGGCTGCAACACAAGACCTCCAACACTGCTGTAAGTAAAATGTTCCTAAAATTAAGCACCATTCTGGTTGCTTACACCTTCCCAGAAGCATTTTAAATATTTCCAGTTTGAAAATCAAGTTTATGGCAGCAGTTGTATCAACACAGCAATTTAAGTTTCACTGTAGTTCAGGACGTGCTACCCCTACAAGGTTTGTTTAGATAGTTTTTGCATATTTTACCCACGTGGCCTTTAGAAACTAAGAAGAAACTACCATTTTAGGCTCAAATCTGATAGAAGACTTGGACACCTTTAACTTTAATCTTAACCTGCAACAACAGTTTCATACACCAAAGCCTGTAACTGTATGCCTTGTCTCCCACAGAGCTATAGGACAGAGAGCTCAGGCTGTGCCCTCTGCAGGAAGTTCATTTGGGCAAGCTGTACAGCAGAACTGCATACATATCCTCATCTACAGTGAAAAGGATTTGGGCTTCCAGATTCCATTTTGATATCCTGGAGAGAAATATGCACAGGTATTACATAGCACAAGCAGCCAAAACACAATGATCACAGGACTCCTGGAAGTTTTGTAGCTCACAGAATTTTCCAAATAGTTCTGCATTCCCAAGTCTTTTTAGAAATGGCCATATTTCTTAATTTAATAATTTCTTAATTTAACAACTTTGAAAAAGCTGTGTTGGGTGCAGTAAGGGAAATTGGTGCCTACAGGTAATGGGCAGCTTCCACCTAAACTTCTGCGACTTTCTCACCACACAAAAAGAAATGCAAGGTATTCAAGGTTAAGTTAAGCTTAACAGTTAACGTATCTTACTGCAGAAGGAACACACATTTCTACCTGAAGCCCTACAAGGTATTAAACAATAGAATCCAGCACACATCTGACTGGTCCACTATTCAGAACTATAGATTCCTGCCATTGCTTGTTTTTAACACTTCAGCAAATCAATTTCAGTCTCAAGGACCACTATACCTTTACATAAATGTCAACATAAATTACTCTTAATTAATGGAATGCCTACTACAAATATGGTGCAGAAAGTAATCATTTTCATGTATCAACACAGCATGAACAAAACATGCTTTTTCAGAAGCATTTAATCTTATGCCTGTGCAAAAAGGCATACATTGGCTTTAAGGAATTCCAAGCCCTGTAACAAAGACTTAGCTGTTTCATTCTAAATGGCAACATCAGGTGCAAAGATTTAAGATTTGTCCCCTATCTACTTACATACAAGTGTCTGCTTTTGAATCTGACCCGTAAGTCCATTTCCAGTAGTTAATTCTGACATCAACGTGATTGTAAAAATTACAGACAAACTACTTCAATTAAATAGTGCAAAAAATGCAATTTCATAATATTTGAGGTGACACTAGTCATTTAATGCAATAATGCAGTATCTTAAGTTGTCGGATTTTGTAAGTTAGTATTTGAACAGCCTAAAGTCTTACGTGCTGGACGTCAGATTTAATGAAGGTCTCACCATGAACTCTCCAGGTTGGTTTCATTTGCTGTCTTAAAACAGACAGATTGTTGTATGCAAGAACAGCAGCATCTAATGCATTAACTCCTTCCCAAGGATAAGCAGCAGCATGAGAAGCTTTTCCATAGTATTTCACAGTCACGCTAGGAAATAAAAGGCATTGCTTACTTGCTGTTCATTTACTTAAAAAACCCTCTAAAATACAAAGTTCCTTTTGTTCACACAATTATATTTAACTTATGTGCAGCAGAACACCAAACAATTTACCTAGCACTACACTGTTACAAAGCTAAGCTGTATTTGAGTGCAGGACAGTCCTGAAAAAGTTCTAGAAAACTAATGGAATGAAACAAAGAACCAAGTGAGCAAAAGTTCCCATAATGTACAGCCTTTCCCATGTATTGAAGGCTTCAGATACTAATTGAACGTCTCCACTTTACTGCCTATTGCCTATTTATGTCTGCCTATTCTGAGACAAAGCTACTAATATTCTTCTCTGAGGATAATAAACTTTTTCCAATTCAAAATGAGAAATTGATTGTCCTAGTTCTTGCCAAACTTTTAGACATGTGCTGCATAAAAGACAGCAAAAGCACATTAGTAATATCACATACAAACCATGCCTAAATAAAAACAAGTGCAATAAAAATACAACCTAGTATATAAAATATACATACCATGCTACTACCTCAAAGACGTCCTTTCCCTTCACACCTCAAAAATGCTGGTAGAAATGTTTGCAAAGAGAGAGAAACTGTAGTGCAGAAGTTGCAAAACTCAAAATACTGTACCTAAACATGTCCAGCAAGATGAAGCCAAGCATGAATTCTTATGAGTGTCGCTTCTTAGGCTTATGAAGTAATTTATGTGGTGTTTTGAATTACATGCAAACACATTACACTGAATACTTACATCTATATAAAGTATTACCATTTCTCAAACACAAATACTGGTTTTATCCATCCTAGGGTTTGATCTCAAAACCCAGTCCTGTACATATATCACTTCATCCTCGGCCCTCACTCTCCACCAAGACACACACACCACTTGGCTCTCACCCAGCCAGACACAGCCCTGCTGGGCTGTCCCCGCCTTGCACAGACACCAACTTAGCCACTTATCCTGAACTGACCCCTCATGTCCCAAGCCGTGGCACAGCTGTAAGTCTGTAGCTGTACTGAAATACTGGAGAGCAAAGAGGGACACAATGGAGTCCACGCTTGAAGTGGTCAAAGTCTCCCTCACAGATGACTGCAATCCAAATTAAGGTTTTGTAATGCCCCTTTCTTTCCACACAGGAATCTTACATCCTGCTGAGTTTTAATTACAATTATCACATATGTAATCAAGAAAACTTATCCATTAACATCCCAAGCACTAGACTGTGGTCCCTCAAATCAACTTGCAAAAAAGAAGGCAGGACAGATCCCTAGCTATTCTCCAAAAATAATGGAGAGGAGACAAAGCAGAAAGTCATGTTGCAATCATTTTTGTTTGCAAGAACCATGGGCTGCTGAACAAAAATTGTTCTTTCAGCATTCATTTTCTTGTAGCCTCTATTGCTACATGTCACATTCAGAATAAAAACACATTTTGGTGAATAATACAACCCTGAACAAATTGATGAGTATCAGCAGAACAACATGGATCCTGTTTGACCAACAAAAAAGTAGGTTGATTAGGTGAAGAGTAACTGACTAAGAATTGGCAAGTTATGGCACATATGCAAAACAGTTATCCCAATACATTCATTTTACTTCAGACACAAGATAGCTGAATTCAGAGTTTGCAGATACAGTAAAACTAATAATGCAGTGATCAGTAATCCTTAAATTCCTTGGGAAAAACCAAAAGGCCAAATGCAATGAATGAAAACAGCCTTTGTGCCTCTGGAATCTCATTATTACATAAATCGTGGTATAAGCTGAATATTTCAAGCTGTTTCACTCAGTGCTTCAGTTCCATGCCTCCTCCGTATTCAAGGTTTAAAGGCCATGTAGGGCTTGTATCCAGCAGTAGACTATCACCTCTGAAGGGAGATCCCTACATCTTACTGTATCAACAAAAAAGGCCATTACAAGAGATGAAGTTAACAGAAAGACAAATACATCCGTGAAAATTGTATTTTGAAGATTATAGTCTTAAGGGACAGCAACCAAAAGCCAAGCAAAGCCTCAAAAGGACACTGCAATAAGAACAATGAAGGCAAATATGAGGACTAACTATGGAAGGATGACTAGTTCATGCCAACCCTGTCAATTTTTACCATTGAACTAAGCAGTAACTGAGGTAAATTATTCACCAGGAAGATCACTGACAAAATTAAAAGGACCAATAAAATCAAGCACTTAGGAGTCTGGAAGGTCACATGTTTGATTAGAGAACCCAATGCAATACTTGTAAAAAACACTCAACACAAAATCTCCTTTGCACTGAACGGAAGTTACTAGTAGAGTCCCTGCAGGTTCAGTCTTGGGATCGAGCATCACTAGTAACCATGGAGTAAAGTGTACTAACAAAACCTGCTGGTAAGACTACTGCTGGGACCCTATGAAAACAAAGGAGGTTTCAAATACCAAAAGAACAGCATGACCCCGCAGACCAACATATCAGGAATAGAGTTAAACTCAAAAATACTTTAGAAATCATGCAGTTCCAGACAAAGCACGTCTTTGCAAGTTGCTTGCTGGAAAATGACTTAAGTGGAAAGTTCATTAGCTGTCTATGAAATAGACTAGTGCCTACTAAGGCAGGCTGTTGAAAGTCACATCCCTCTAAGATGCATTTATGCTGAGATTTCCAGGAAAGCTAGACACTGTGGCTCCAGCATTAGCTCAGAAAGGTCTAATATAATTCCCCTGGCAGAACTGTGAACAGTTCTAGTTAGGAACATCCAGCAAGGAGCACTTCAAGATGAGTCTCCCTGAATACAAATGAAGAACAACCACAGAGAATAAACACTAGAGCTAATGAAAAGATGGCAAGGCAACGTCCCCAAAGAGCTATCCAACAAAAAAAAGTGGAGTGAGGGTATGACTGCTGCCTACACATATTGGGGGTACACATGAAGTAATGCCAGGAAATAATTTCGGCAAAGACAAAGCTGTTGTTAAGAGTTAATAGATACTGAATGGCCATAATTAAATTTAGGCTAAAAATTAATAAGGACCCAAAGAGCAGTCAGGCTTAGCTGGTTAGCTGTTTCCAAAAGTAGGAGAAAAACTAAGCACTTCCACAGCTGACTAAAATATACAGAGAACTACATGACTTGATAGCCAGGAAAGCAAGAAGCTACAATCAGTGAGATGTCCCCTTGCATACTTTTTTTTTTTTAAGTGCTTTTAAAATGATTTTTTTAAAGGCAAAGGATTATCACATGCACGTATAAGAATAGCCCTGAAACACAAGAGAAAATGGCCTGGGGGGGACACAAGATTATCCCTGAGCAGCCAACTATGTGAATGCCATGCTGAACGCTGCACTTTGCACTGCTCAGAGTCCACAAGAGGGATACGGCTCCTCAGCTGACTGCAAACTCCTTGCCTGGAGGGCACCTGCGAGGTCCCCTGCCTAAGTTCAGCCTCTTCCAAGCAGCAACCCCGTTCGGGGAGGGGAACCAAAGCCAACAGCAAGACACCCCTTTCCACGTGGACCCACTCACTCACTCGTGCTCAGCCACATCAGGCAGATAGGCCGCGTTTTCTTGCGACGGGTGCGCCATAAACACCACATCCAGGTCGTCAAACGCCCCGGCGTTTATCAGGTCAATTTTGCCACCTCCTTGCTCCTCCGCAGGCGTCCCCAGCACGGCGACCTGCAGCAGAAACACACCGAGTCAGGAGCGGGCACCGACCGGGGGCACGAAGGAGGCACGAAGGGACCCTCAGGAGGGCTCCCACCTGCACGGCGCTGGGAGCGGGCTGCGGCAGGCTCTCCAGGGCGGCTTTAAGCCCCAGGGCGGCGGCTGCCCCCACCTCGGCGATGAGGTTGTGGCCGCAGGCGTGCCCGATGCCGGGCAGCGCGTCGTACTCGCAGAGGAAGGCGATGCGGAGCGGGGCGGGGGGTCCCTGCGGCCCGGCCGTGCCCCAGTCGGCGCGGAAGGCCGTGCCCAGCTTGTAGCGGGGCCGCACGGCCCAGGCGGCGCCCGGCAGCTCCCCGCTGCCGAAGAAGCGGGTGAGGGCGTCGTGAGCGTGGTGCTCCTCGTAGGCCAGCTCGGGCCGGCTCCAGATGCTGCGGCTCAGGGCGCCCAGCCGCGCCGCGTTCAGCTCCACGCCCTCGCACGCCCGCTGCTTCAGCTCCTCCAGCAACGCGTCCTGCGGCCTCATCGGCACCCGCGGCTCCCAACGGTTCCTAACGGCTCTTAACGGCTCCCAACGGTCACGCCGCGCGCACCTGCCGAGCCCACACTGCGCCGCCCGCCGCGGCCGCGCCTTTTATAGGCTCTGCCCTGCCGCGGGGCGCGCTGGGAAATGTAGTTCTCGTCGGGGCTCGGGCGCCGCCGGCCATTTTGGGAGTCCGAGGCTTTGCTGCTGCCTCTCAGACTTTTTTTTTTTTTTTTTTTTTTTTTTTTTTTTTGTCTTTCAACATCACATTTGTCCCCAGACAAACTGACATCACAGTGTCCCCCAGACTTCCCGTTATTCCACAGTTCCAGAATGGCTGAGGTTGGCCACCTGCCCCGTACCCTTCCCACATGGACACTGCCCAGCACCACGTCCAGGTGGCTTCTGAACATCGCCACGGAGGAGGCTCCACCACCTCACCACCTCTCCGGGCAGCCTGTGCCGGTGTTCAGTGACCACACAGCACAGAAGTGCTTCCCAGTGCTCAGACAGAACCTCCCGTGTTTCAGCTTGTGCCCATTGCCTTGTCCTGGCTACAGGCACCCCTGAGATGAGCCTGGCTCTGCCCTTTTGCACCCTCCCTTTGTGTATTTCTGTACATTGAGGAGATCCCTGCTCTTCTCCAGGCTGAGCAGTCCCAGCTCTCTCAGACACTCCACATAGGAGTGGTGCTCCAGTCCCTTGATCACCTTGGTGGCCCTCCGATGGCCTCTTTCCAAGTCTCTCTTGTATGGGGTGGAAGGGAGGGAGTCGTTTCATCAACCAGAAGTCCTGTCTGCTTGCAGTTTGCTCCCCCTTTGACATGTCTGTGGGATTTTTGGCCCGAGTGCTTGAAGTCTCCGTATGGTTCGGCTGACCAAGCAATGGTGGGTCCAGATCTCCCCAAGCAGCATATCACCGACCCCACAGCCTATGTCCCAGCCTCTCCACTGCAAAGTGAATTTCCTGCTCCTTTGGGACAAAGGCAATGCACAGCTGTGAACTTGCAGCAACACCCAGCCTGGATGCTTTCCTTGTTGCAGCCCACAGCACAGAATGCCAAGTGTGTGGGCTAAACATCTGCACAGCCCAAGCACAGACAGTGTGACGATTTCGGGAAGCCTTGGCCTTGCTGCCAGTATGCTGCGTGCACCATGCTGCTGCAAAAGCCCAAGTGATTGCCTATGGCCTTGCTGACTTTCATAATGAAATCCTGATGATCAGATGCATATTTTTTTTCTTCCCCCTGGAGCTGTTGTGCAACACAGCTTTTGTTTGAAGTCCCATGTGCACTTATAGCTAATGAGGACTCACCAGTAGTTGGAATGGGTGTGAAGTGCTTGTCATGGGTTAATATTAGCTACAAGCCAGATAGCAGGGTCCTTGCCTGTCTAACTGTTCAGTACCTGACAAAGTTGAAGTCAGCAGAAAAAAAGAAAAGAAAAAAAAAAAAAAAAAAAAAGACTAATTCTGGCATTTTTCTTGTATTTACTGAAGTAGTGAAATTTTACTTTTTGTTCAGCTTAATGGACAAAACTCTTCTCCAGTCTGTTTATCAACTGTTTATCAACTCTGCTCCACAGTGTTTCTGTCACCTGGAGAAGTGCTTTGGCATGCTGAACATCAGGTTTCCCTTCTCCTTTTCCTGGTGCCACCCAAACTTTGCATGACCCTCGGTCACTCCAAGCAGAGCTCAGGCACTCATGCCCCTTACGCAAGTGTTTGTCACAAGCTATTTTTACTCTTGTAACACACTCCAGCAAATACCGTGGTTGTGGTCTGTTCTTTCCCTCAAATACTTTCAAGCAGACAAATGCCTCCACTTAGAAACACACCCTGGACTTCCAACTGTCCCATCCATACTTCCAGTCAGTGGTAGACTAGTGCACATACATAGCAAAAGGGTCACATAAAGTCTTATTGTCTACTGATTTTGAGGGCTGGGAGCCCTTTGGAGCAGGCAGGGTGTTACCAGCATGCTTCAGCAACAGCCACTCCAGGCATCCATCAAACCCAACCTCTTTTGCACTCACTTGTCTGCATTGCTGAGTGGCTGTTCAGAAAAGAGTAGATCACACCTAGGGAGAGCTGGCTCACACTTTAAATTGTAATAAGGGGAACACAAGCAAACAAACAAACAAAACCCACAACTTTTTGTTCCTAACTACCCGGTTCCCCAAGGCAGTACTGTTTACTCTATAGTTTCATATTTATTCAACAAAAGCAGGGCTCTGCTCAGCCCCTTAGATCAGATTCATCCTGTACCCTGTACAGCTTTATACACTTGATCTTCACCCAAAGGTGGGTGCTTTCAGTAGTTTTCAAACTTCTGCGTTGGAAATGTGCATGTTCTGTGGTGTGACATGTAAGTGACATGAAGATGGTTCCTCAGGTGGATTAAATCTAGGGTGTGGACTTCATCCATTTGCTCTAACAAAGCCATAGCCCTAGTTTTCCAAGGGGAATAGAAGCAGAGAGAACCCTGAATTGGGTTTCATAGGTATTTGCTGCCAGTGGGCAAAAGGTGAGGGGCAGATGGGGACTCAGGCCCCATTTCAGCGCAGAGGAGGAGTATCCTCCACAGAGCACAAGCTCTTCAGCCTCTCCTTCCCCAGACATGACCTCCTTCTCTTGATATCCTATCTGCATCTGCACAGTGCAGAGAACTGGAAGCCAGGAGCTTTTTGGGCAAGTGAGTGTTCTGCCAGGTTGCTGCAGTGGCTCCATGGGGATCAGATGAGAGCAGTCAGAGACGTGCCAAGGCAGGGCCAGGGTGACTGTGAGCAAAAGGGCAGAAGCAGGGAGGAGGCCAGTTCACAGATTGGACCCCGTCTAGGACTGGCTTAGGCTGTCTTGGAATCACAGCTCAGATACATCTTAGGCCTCTAAGTCTGTCAGATGGCCTTGACAGCATGTCAGTAGTAATGATAGGTGATGACAGAAAGCATTGACAGGATAAACCCAAAGAATACAGTAGGAAAATTATATGAAACAGACCAGAGTCTTGACATCCTAGCAATTAATCAAAGTAGAGAGGCTCCAAGGGGCTTGACTATCCTTCACAGAAGGGATATCACACCACAAGTGTCTCCTGTCTCTACAAGGAGCAAGCACACCAAGAGGCCAGGCAGAGTGTGCCTGAGGGTGCTGTTCCCTCAGAGGGCCTTGCTGGGCTCCATACCTCCTCGTGCCCAGGAGCTTCTCTTGCCTGGGCATTTCAATGAGCAAATTAAGTCAGTGAGATGCAACTCAGAAAAGAAAATGGTGTTTTTTCAGCTGGCTACAGTTTCACAAGTCACATAATATCTCTCTGCCCCCCATGGGTCTTCCCTAGTTCCACCATGATTTTCCCTCTCTCAGACAAAAACTCCTGCCACATGCTGTCTTTGGTATTTGTTGGATCTGTACATGAGTGGATGTAATTCACTAAAATGGCAGGAAAAAAAAAAAAAAAAAAAAAAAAAAAAAAAAAAAAAAAAAAAACTTTGCAACAAGTTAGGAAATTTCTTTCTGATATAGTGAGATAAACTGTTTTGGGCAAAGGTCCAAAATGTGCCAGTGCTGGGAGTGGGGTGGACAGAATTGCCTAGCTGGGGGCAAGGGGTATCATGAGACTAATGGTGTGGGGGCAGTGAGTTGTTGGTTCAGCTCAGCTCAGTGAGTTGGGGATGAGATGAGGATGGTCAATCCCATCCTGGCAGAGCTGCTGGGAGCATCCCTGCCAAGGCCATCCAGCAAAAAGAAAATTAAACTACATTTACTGCTCTAGCTCATTATCAGAGGAAAGGGGGATCTTGGCTAATAGCAAAGCATGGGAACAGTTTTGTATAAAGGAGAAGAGTAAGCAAGATCACAAGAGTTAGTTTTCTCTGTCACAGTTAAAACAGAGATGTGAATTCTGAAGTCAGATCTATTTAGGAAAGACAAAGCAAAAGGTGTAGGTATTTTTAGTTGTAAGTAATGAATGTATGCCAAGTGAGGGCTTCTAATCCTGTTATACAAAGCCCTTGCCTTCCTACTGTTGTTCCTATTGTGTCTTCTCCTTGGTGTGTGTTAATTGTTTGCGTGGAAGAACTACTGGATATTTACACCAGAGGTGTGATGGTACCTATCAAATCAAGCAATAATACTTTTGCTCCTCATATTACAAAACTTCATCTCACAGTTGTTAGACTATCACAATTTTTCCCCTATTCTAGAAGACACTAGACTTTCAATATCTTGTGCACATTCTAAAATTCATTGATTTACACTGCTAAGAAGAAAACATTTCTGTTTACTAGTTGCATTTGCTATAAGTTGTACATTGGCCTATGATTATGAGAATATTGTAGTATAGTTGACATAAATAAGAAATCTACAAAATAAAAAAAATATACAAAACATGTTGTTCTGATTTAGTAGACATGTATGAGTGCATTTTTTAAAAACAAGATCAAAGATATCATGCTGACATTTCTGTTTTGCTAAACAAATTATAACACACTATTAGTCTGCTAAAAATACCATTACTAGACAGATGAAATGCAATCCAGACATCATCACTGTTGTTTCAGAAAAGCAAGAACCATGCATATATTTATTTGTGAGTAAACAAAAACAAACTTCGCAGCTGCTGATTCAATTCATATTCCTGGAACCAAGCTGTAAACAAATACTTGTATTTTTGTTTTAGAGGGTGGATGAGGTTTTGGACCTTTCCATTGGTCTAAAGGAAGGAACATCTGTTGTGGCCATAAAAAACATGATGATCAAGTTTACCTCATCCCACATTAGCAACATTAGGCATTTAGGTTGAAATCCAGATCTGACTGAACCCAATGAAAGTCTTGTTATTAAATTCAGGGTGGCCTGGATTTCAAGGCAAAATCCAAAGCTTTAAAACAATAGTACAGTAAGTCCTAAAAGCAAAAGTATGTTGATGCTATGTGTAGAAACTGTAGGCTGACTTGCCTAAAATAACATTCCAGCATGGTTTACAAATAGGCTTGTATTAGGAAGTACTTATCAAGACATGCAGTGAAGTGAGAGTGGATTACATGTTTAAAAAGCAAGAGTGGAAAGGGGGTCTTTGGTTAGATCACAATGGCACAATCACAAT